ACAAATAAAAAATAAAAATAAAAAAGAAACTGTGAAGATAGGGCTTGTTTCTGTTGTTCTTAGCAGAAGGTAGAATAACATGTTTTTCCCACCAGAGATTGCTACTCTTATGAAAGAAATTGTAATTAAGGTCGGAAGCAAACCCCAGCCACCTAAGAAGCCATTTTGAGTTATCTGCTAATGTAAAATAAACTTGACATCGTTATTTAATTAAAAAAAGATATGAATGAAATGAAAATAAAATAATGAAACGGATCCTTCTGGGGTAAGCAGTTTAGCTGCAGTGATGGCTAAGAACCGTCCCTGTTCTTCCCTCTTACCTTTGTCAGATAGAATTCTAGTTAGGTAAAAAAAAAAAAAAGAAACAGTCACAAAAATTATCTGCTAAGTTGTGCCTGGCACTTAATATTATTCTGATGAATGAATGAAGTATTTCAGTATTAATTATGAGCATTCCTTTGATCAACGGCTTTCAAATATCCCAGAAAGTGCTAAATTTGCTATGGTTCTATGGCGCAATTTATGAAGTGAGCTAGGCTGTGAGTGCTTTAAAAACTTAATGAACTTCATAGTTAGTTTGATATTATTCCTAAATATGCTTAGTTTACTAAAAGGCTCCAAACTAGTATTATCATCCCTGTTATGGGTTGAATTGCATCCCTTTAAAAAAGATTTGTTCGACTCCTAACCTAGACCTCAGCATGTGACCTTATTTGAATAGGGTCTTTACAGAAATGAGGTCATTAGGGTGGGCACTGATCCAATATGACTGGTGTCCTTATAAAAAGGGAAAAATTTGGACATAGAGATAGATGTGCACCCGGGGAGGCGGCCATGTGAAGACAAGTTCTGCCACAAGCCAGGCGACCACCAGAAGCTAGAAGAGACGCCTAGAACACACCTGAGTGCCTTTAGACTGGGCATGGCCAACTGATGCCTTGATCTTGGCTTCTGGCCTACAACCTGGGAGACAGTACATTTCTGTCGTTCTAAGCCACCTAGTTTGCGGCACTTTGTTACCACAGCCTGAGGAAACTAATGTGATCACCCTGTGAGAATTTTCTTTGTTCCCAAATGCAGCCTGTGAATGGGACATACAGTGAACTGCACAGGTCTTGCCTTCGCTGTGAAGAAACGTGCTCCACGTTTATTTCACTGTTTTCTAGACAGCAAACCAGCAAAAAAGGGAGTTTTATGAAAACCCTTACAACTTCCACCTTTAACCCTCCTCCCCAGTATTTACATTATTGCTAGGAATATTAACAGAGGCAGCTGTAGTGGGCCTGCTCAAATTCCAGGGCTCCAGCCTATATCCACCACTTACTGGCTGGAGAGTCTTATCCTCTTGTGGGGCACCTGCCCTAACTGTTTCGTGCCTCAGTCTCTTTATCTGTGAAATGGGGATCCTAATTGGTGGAGTGGTAATTAGGAAGATCAAATGAGATAATAAGAGAAAAGTTATAGAACAGTGCTTGATAGGAAGTCACTACCCAAGAAAGGTTGGTGGTTATGGCTAGTTGCTAAAATACTCATCCTTTAATGTGGATTATTAACCGTAAACTGACTTTACTGTGATATGTTTTTTTGAGAGTTCATCTCTCATATTTCTTGATCAAATGGTTGTTAACAACAATAAAATTCTGTATAGGGGACTCAATGCACAATCATTAATCAACCCCAAGCCCAACTCTCAACAGTCTCCAATCTTCTGAAGCATAACGAACAAGTTCTTACATGGTGAACAGTGCAAGGGCAGTCATCACAGAAACTTTTGGTTTTGATCATGCTTCATGAACTATAAACAATCAGGTCAAATATGAATATTTGTTTGATTTTTATATTTGATTTATATGTGAATCCCACATTTCTCCCTTATTATTATTATTATTTTCTTTTTTTAAT